CCATCAGCATCGCCAATAACTAGTGTTTTACGATGTTAATTGTAAGTGAAATGATTACATATAATTAGGAATGGATAGTTATAGAATGATTTTAATTATTGGGTATAGCTTCCTTGTACCATAGATTGATTATCATTTTGAGTGGAATATTCACGAGGTAACACTTCATTTATTGTTGATTCTGAGATAATTGTAAGAATTTATAGATAGATAATACATAACTGTATAATAGAAAGAACGATGAACATTGTTTACTACTTGAGGGTTTCCAACCGAATTAGGACCAATTGTGTTGTATCTATTGTATATATTTTACATATTTGAAGGATTGAGTTTGATATGATGAAAATATGGGCATATTTGGAAAGGTAATTTTGATACTTGTTGGGAGGACGTCAAAACCTCATCGCAAGTAGTTTTTCTAATTTTTTACAATTCGAAGATGAACATCTAAAAAATATTCCCATCGTCCAGCACTAGTTGCCTGCAAATTCCACCAAAAGAAAAATTGTATTCCATCCACTGAATCGAAATAACACCCAAATATTTCGTATCCAAAGAAAACCATTAATCCATTACTCCAATTGAGATAAACCCCCAATTCCTCAGAACCTATCACTCACATTCACCACTAACCCACCATTTTGTGGAGGCCGCCATTTCGTGTAAATATGCGCGAGCACCCAGCGATTTCCAAACCTTTATCACCCTCATCATCCCAAATCGAATTTCCTGAATGAATTCTCGACTAAAAGATATTAAAAGACAAACCAATTGTTTTTTTAAAAAAAAAGAGAGGACCGTTGGGAGATAAGAATTTAGATGAATTTTCAAACTCACAAGAGAACTCGTGGGAGTATTCAAATAATAATTTCAAGGATATTCAAAAAATTAAAATGTTCTCAATAACACGTGAGGTATACATGGAAGAACTATCAGTGTTCCTAGAATTAATGGAGTATTCCAGAGTGAGAGATGATTAATGGTGAAATATCATGAATTCCCTCCCAACAAGTATCAACCCCTGAAGCCCCGGCTAACCCTGACTGACGTTTGGCGTTTGTGCTTAGGAGGGAATGATTCAGCAAGTACCGTGCAAGGTATTCGTGGGACGCTGTACAGAAGACCTAACAGCGGACGATCTTCGCGACTACTTCTCAAAATTTGGTGAAGTTACGGATGTATTCATCCCGAAGCCCTTCCGTGCATTCTCATTCGTAACATTCTTAGATCCCGAAGTTGCCCAATCACTTTGCGGTGAGGATCACATAATAAAGGGAATATCAGTGCACGTATCAAATGCAGCACCAAAATCCGAGGGTAATAACCGCAATTTCAACAACCAAATGAATTCAAATATGCGCGGAAGAGGAATGCCAGGGCCAATAGACAATAATATGCAGGGAAATTACCAGGGAAATCGTTACATGGGCCACTCAGGCAACAACATGGGTCCAAACGGTTGGAACAATCCCGGCAATCGTGGTAATCTCGATATGCCAAATTTACAAGCACTCGGCATAACCGGACAGAATAACGGAGGTGGTGGTGGTGGTGGTATGTCAAATCCATTAGCAATGGGTGGAATTAATCTATCAGCACTGCCAGTCAATCCAGCACTAGTTGCTGCTGCACTCAATCAAGCATCATGGGGACTGATTGGTAATCTACAGAATCAGGGCAACGATCAGGGATATTCAAATCAGCCAGGACCACCAGGACAACCACCATCCGGCAACAACAGCATCGGTAACAGTGGTAATTCTGGTTTCCTCAGCTGGATGAATCAAGGAGGAGGTGATGGAAACACGGGAAATCCAGGATCTGGTGGACCTGGACCCAACAATCCTAATGCAAGTCAGGGGGCCTGGCAAAATCATCCAGGACAACGAGACGGAAAGACCAACACCTTCCTGAAGTACGAGTAAATGGATAACGAGTCTATTGATTGAGGGGATCGTTTGAATAACTGGTTTGGGTGATTATCGATTATTACGAGACACATATGATTGATCATTGACGTGACGAGGGGAGTAATCCGACGAACCTCGTCACATTTAATCCCTCGATTATTATCTAATCGCTTTATTTCCTTACACATTGACTATTTACTTTCACCCGCAATATTCAAATTCCTAGATTAATCACCCACCAAATAAAAAATCAACATTGATAATGCAATCGAAGGGGGAATCAACGCAAATAAAATCTAGATAAAACTGATGGTTAACGAAATATTCGAATGATATGATGAAAATTTTTAACACGATAATAGTTGTAATATGGTGCATTGAAAAAAAAAAACAAAAAACGATTAACTAAACTTAAGCCAAGATATGGGTGGAGAGAGTCAAATGAGTGGTGAATGTGCATTAGAATTTTTTCCTTATCGTTAACGTTTTTTTCTCTCTCTCTCTCTATCTCTCTCTCTCTCTCTCTTCTTTTTGAAAAATTATTTTCACGGGAGATATTGTAATTATTCTAATGTCTAGAGCGGCGTATATGTGCTTGGAATTCATTGCAGTGTGTTTAATATTTAAATAATAATGAGGTATGTATCGGTGTAATGTGGATTTAAAAAAAGAAAAGAAGAAGATAACACTTTGAGTAAGTAGAAACCCTTTCACAAATGAATGAGGTGGGATAATTGATAATGGATGATAGTTACTGATTAACTGGCTGACGAGGATAATGTGAATTTGTGAGGGGGATGGAGATTAGATGATCAATATCCGCGAGGGTCGATATAAGATTGATTATATTATAGTTGTTTATCAGTTTGTGAGTGTATTCGTATCATTGAATTATTAACAAAGAAAATATGGTTAATAAATAAAGGTAACATGAATTTAGATAATGACCCACTCGTGGTGAAAAAAAAAAAATTATTGTAAGTATATGGATTAATATGCGCTTAGCTGATAGTTATTTCATCAATGAGAGCTTAAGTAATCGTTGTATACATGCTTTTTCAAGGAATGTTGCATGGTTTCCCTCCTGGGTCGCTCGGATGTCTGAGATTTTTTTTTTTTTTCTCGTTTTCTTTAAAAATGCTGAAGGCAATTATCGTGGAAATGTAAAAACGTGAGAGATGATTTTTATTCTCACTGTCAATGTGATTATCTCAGCGGGGGTGGATCTAGTGAGAAACTTCGTAGGAGCTTTTTTGTGGAGAATTTAATCCCCTCGATAAAAGTTCCTCTGACCTCTTCTCCCAGATCCACCATTTTTGAGATACGCAATGGACAATGTCAACACTACCAATATTTCGAGGATAAAGAAAAACTGATTATTATTGTGTCTCACGTTTTCATTTTTCTCCTGATAGAATCGATCAATTTTCGATGATAATGACGACATTCATCATCAATATTCACCCATAGATTATTTATTATTAACCCATAAACAATTGCAATATTACAAATCACAAGAAAACCGATGAAGACTAAATTCTCCATTGTTCACAATTTTAGATTTGAAATAAATAAATAAAAAATGATCTAGAGAGAAAGGAGGGGGTAGAATGACTAAACTTGAATCGATGAATGCATAAATAATTGGTACAGTTAATCGAGTAACTGAATAGATTAAAATAATTAAAATCTGATTTGTAACCACGAAACTTTCTCTCGTAGGTACTTAGCGTGAATTACACAGTTGTACGACTATTTGTGTATGAATATTTTACACTGGTGCGCTGATGTGTAAATTTAAAAAAGAAAGGTAAAAAAAAAAGTAAGAAGTTTAATATTAAAAATTGAGTCAGAGATAACAGTAATGATACTAATTCATTAACAAATTCGAAAGAGTATACCGATGAATTTTAAACAGAACTAAATAAATGGAGTTGATTGATTTCATTCGTTGTGTGGGATAAAAACATAATTAATTATATATTTATACACGGTTTATTTGAATTGAATGGTTTGCAAGTGGTAGGTAATCGAGAGTGAATTCAGTGAATTATTTTTTTTTTACAATGGATTGAACGTTTCCTTCGTCTTGCAATTTTCTGGGCAAATTTTATTACAATTTTCCCAGTGACAATTGCAAAAAAAAAAACGAAACCGAAACTGAGATATTTAAACCAATAATAGTTGTGTCAAATGGGGTTGTTGATGGAAAATAAAAAAATTTTTTTTCTTGTTCTTTGAAGACAAAAGATTTATCGAATAACAAAGTTTCACTAGATGACGAGGGTCTCGCAATTTCTTTAGTCAATAAAACGTAAATTAAAAAAATATAATTGAGGGGGAGGAAGTGAAAAATTTAAGTGATAAATAAGTGACAGTAATAGTTGAAATATTATCAAAATCAATGAACGAAGATAAAGCTGTTACGCAAATAATGCCGCAATTAATTATTCACATACTACTTCAAATCACTTATTATCTGATTAGTGAAGAGAATTAACGAGAGAAAAATAACAACAAATATTGACAAATAAAAAGAATTCTTATACGTGATTGTGTGTGCTGTTTGTATCTTTATTTTTTTTTTGTTTTTCAGTTGAGAAGTCATAGAAAAATTATTTCTGTCCACTTATCATTCTGTTGCGAGGTAATAAACTAGAATAAGTGTATTCGTTTCAACGTCAGTTTTTAGTCGATATCTGGGGATCGATGGACGATAACGATATTTTCATAGACACCTTTTTTGTAGCTCTCAACTTTTTCTATAAAAAATGTTTATGCAAAAAACTGGCTAGGTTCCTTCAACACCGAGATATTGGCTAAAAACTGACATTGAAAAACAAAATAAACTTATTCTAGTTGACCACCTAGCTACTGCATTCATCCAGCAATTTTTCAAAACTCGAATGGATTCTATCGAATTTAAAGTGCGGCATATTTTGGCGATCATCACTGGTTCCAGGGATGACATTTTTGAGGAATATTTGGGATTTTTACTCATTTCCATGGGCTCATTGCTAGCATCGTCCTTCTATTTATTTTATTATCCATTCAAAAGGGAAACGGGTGGACGTTTTTTGCAAATATCTCGAGAACCCTAAAATCTACAAAAAAATATAAGATAACATTTTTCCCAGGCAATAAAATTACCCACAAAAATGTATCATAACATTTTTTGGCAGAACCATTAATTCTCGAGATATTTGCTCCACAAACCTATACCCCAGTCCACCCACAACTACCCATTAAAATTCTATCCAAAGTATTATTTATTAACTATTCTGGAAGCGAAAGAAATTGAGTATTCAAATGGTGACTGATGTGTTATTACTCATGATGACTGAAGATTCATTAGTGGACCGATTGGATTGAATTAACGAACGTGAATAATGTGAGTATGAATCGGTTGAATGTATTTGTTAATGGTCGTCTCAGAACTACAGAAGCGAGTTTGTCTGATTAAAAAGTAAAACCTCTCATTGAAAAATAAAGTGAATGCCAATGTACTGAATTGTATCTGAAGAGTGGAGAAACGAGTGTTGTATCACATTGAGATGGATGAAACAGCAGCTCCCACCGGTATTTTTAATTATCACATTAATCCCGACTGATTTGAAAAAATGCCTGAGTGTTTTATACCGAAAGAGTGCACGGAGTAATAACATTAAAAAAAAAATAAATAAATGAAAAAATGAAAAAAATTATAGGAACAACAACAAGAGTGCTTATACATATAAACGTTCAAACGAATTTTAAAACAGAACATGACAGCTGATAGACAAAGACTGTAGTTTAAGACAACTTTTAACAAACATTTAGAACCGTTAGGGCGTACTATTATGAATTTCGGTCCCTTCCAAACCGTTTATACACAAAAAAAAAAATGAAAAATGAAACTATTCAAAAAAATACACTACACAAGAACGAATGTGCAATTTCTATGGGAATTCGATGACGAAGATCGATTTTTATCACTCCTCAAAACCGCAGAAATACTTTTCTCAAAAGTAATCGAGAATTTTTTCACCACACACTAATGTATTAAGTCAATTAGAATTAGGGAAGATTAATTAACAAGAAAAAAATAATGAAACAAAAAGTAATTGTTGCTCAAGAGTTGCCTTGCAAGAGAATAAATAAATAAATGATGATGAAAAAATGACGAGTGAAGCGATTTGGAAGTGATCGGTACGGAATTTGTAAATATCCATGATGAATTTTCATGTTGATTAATAAAAGCCAACTTTTTGAAAGTTTCATTAAGAATTTTTCAATGTAACGTGTCCTACGAGGAGTGATATGTGAGTGTGAGGTAACCGTGACATTATTAATAACGAGATGAATTAATGGTGAAATATCGAGGGGGAGGACAGCTGGGGGTTAAATGGACGATCAATATTTCAAGATTGATTGTTTAAAAGTGTCAACCTAGTGTGAAATTGAGAATAATTCGATCTTCGACTAGTTCTATCGATTCAAGAGATTCTGATGACTATTTAGCCCCAGGCTGTTTCGCCTTTTTGCCATAAACGCGAATAGCGATGAATGAACGAGACTGGAGATTTGAAAAAAAAAAAAATCTGGTGATTTTGTGTAAAGGTATACTGGACTATTCCCTCTTGTCATTCGTCCTGATGATGAAGCAAAAAAAAATACCAAGAAAACGCTTAACTATAATTTTTAATCGAATGTTGAATCTGTGAAGGAACTCTCACGTTTTTATTTCTTTTCGAATATCAGGGACTTCAACGAGAGGTCGTTGACGAATTTCATTGTAAATAAAAGGTTTTCGAATTGTTTTTTACTATCATTATTCAACCGTTGTTCCGAACTCTCTTGCGATATCAGAGAAAAAAGAAATCATTCGAAAATAACTGAATCAATTTTTTAATTAATTAGAGACAGTGAAATTGCATTTAAAATAGTTGAACGGTTCTTCAGGGTCATGAAGAGGTTCATGACGTGTGGGATTGACGAAGGGCTCGCCTAATTTCGACTATTCATTGGATTTAATGAGAATTCTGTATTTAATTAACGAAATCCGATGAGTGTGATTTC